CGGGGCTTGGTCTCAGCCCGCCGCCGGGTTCGGGAGCAGGAGGGCGGAGAAGGGGTCTGGGGGCGCGGGGAGGCCCTGGACGGCCGTGTGTCCCCCCGCAGGTATGTCACCCACCTGATGAAGCGTATCCAGAGAGGACCCGTCCGAGGCATCTCCATCAAGCTACAGGAGGAGGAGAGGGAGAGGAGGGACAACTACGTCCCCGAGGTGAGGCTCGGCGGCCCCGTTCATGGGCCCCAGTTTCTAGAACCTCAGCCAGGAGGAGCTGAGGAGGGTTTGGGTGGAGGAGGTGGATTTCGGCCTCGCATCGGGGCGCTCACTCCAAAAATGCTGCCTGGGCTGGGACTTGTTGTGTTTTGACTCTGCTGCCAGTTGGCAGATGAAACCCTTCCTTGGTTTTCCTAACTTAACATGAGGAAAAATACAACTTGCTGGGACGCATGAAGATGCTTCAGAGCGGCTGAAAACCTGCTGTACAGCAGATGTTGCTGATGAGAGCGCATTGGTGAAACCCCTCTCGTCTTCAAACCGTGTTCGCAAGGGGTTGAGGTCTCACCCGCAGCCCAGTCGCTGGTAGTGCAGGGCGAGGAGCTCCAGAAGCATTGCCCGTGTTCCGGTTTGGTCCCGTCCCTCCCGAACCCTGTAGACCTCCAAAGCTGCGCGTCACGCCGCTCTCTCAGATCTCCCCAGTTGGCTTCTGGTAGAGCTGCTGGTTTGTGCTGCGTGAACGCTCGGTTCCGTTACCTCTGCTCTCCCAAATGATCGGTGCGGGGATCTGGTTATGTGGAAGGTTATTTTAGCAATGACCTGGGAGGAACAGGTACGTGCTGGGATGCCACAGGAGCCTGGGCAGTGCAGTAAGGTGGGCTGGTGGTGTCCCATGGTGGGCAATCTGCATCAGGAGCGCCCTCCCTGCTTTGCCATGTTGGTTTTGGAGCCTGAAGCGAGGCGACCTGGCTCTTCATGAGAGACTGGGGCTCAGTCTGTCTCCCTCAGTCCTGACAGCCAGAAGTGATGCATGAAACAGGCAGCTCCGGGCAGATCCGCTTGCAGATGCCTCGAGGCCCTGAATTTTCCATGTCGGCACAGTGCTGACCCGCGCAGCAGGTCTCGGAGGAGCTGGCCGGGGCAACTGTCCATGCATTGCGCGTGGTGACCTTCCAGCTCAGTTTGGAGGGCAAGAGGAGGTGGTGCTGGTTGGAGAGGTCACCTCTGGAGGAGCCCTGAGCAGGGAATGCGTGTGTCTGTGCTGTAGCTGTTGAAGCAGCGTTAGCTGAACCCGCGTTATTTGTGGTTTCTTAGAAAAATCCTGGTGTGATGTAGCCTCCTGGGGAAGGAAGCACATGGAGACCAAGGTTTGGGGTCTGGGGAGGGCTGGGGGAGATTGCTGTGGGGTTACAGAGCAGGAGACCCCAGGTCCTGGAGCAGGACAGCCCGGGTGGTCACTCGGCGTTGCTGTCCAGCAGCGCGGTGGTTGGGCTCCGGCCCTGGGGCCTCGCGTCGCAGGGCGAGCATGAGTGTCGGCGGTGACCACAGCACCCGGGCCACCGGCGCACCCAACCCCGGCTCCTCTCGGCAGCCCTGGCATGGAGCTGGTCAGGCCTCGAGTGTGCGGTGCCTTGCCGCGGAACAGGCTCTTCTCCCTGTGCGGGGCCTCTCATGGTGTCGCGGCCAGAGAGCTGGCCTCCGTCGCGTCCTCCTGGAGCTTTCTGTTGCTGGAGCCCTTCCCCACGACAGGCAGCGAGAGCTCGCTCATGCGGAAACACCAGAGGGGGGTGGTGGGGGAAGGGCCAGGACCCTTCCAGCAGCCCGTTTGCAGTGGGACGGGACCGGGATGGGTGCACGGGGACGCCCCGGTGGCGGCGGGGCCTTGTCAGACTGTGTCCGTCTCCCTTCTGTCCCCAGGTCTCTGCCCTCGACCAGGAGATCATTGAAGTGGACCCGGACACCAAGGAGATGCTGAAGCTCCTGGTGAGCGTCCCCAACGGTCCCCATGCCTGTCTGGCGGTGTGGCCCCAGCAGTGCTCCTTTCTGGAGACGCGAATCTGCCCTCGGCGGGCCGGGCGTGGGTGGCAGGAGGGCGGTGTGACTGATCCCGTGTGACCCTGAGCTGTTTTCCAGGACTTCGGCAGCCTGTCCAACCTGCAGGTGACGCAGCCCACGGTGGGGATGAACTTCAAAACGCCCCGAGGAGCGCTCTGAGTCAGTCGCCGGGTGTCACTTTTCCAATAAACGTGGGGAAACCACCTCGGCCTGCCTGGTCTCTGGGAGCCTACATCCCCGGAATGGGGTGGCAGGGCTCGTTCTGTGGGTGTCCGAGGGCGAGGAGGGCTCAACGCCTGCACATCCGACAGCATCTGTCTGGGCTCTTTCCCGGCTGTTTGGGGCAAAGCTGTTATTTCAGGGGCTCTCCTACGTTACGCAGCCAGGAGAGGACGACCGTGGTGGCTCCTCAGAGCCTGCCGGCGCCTGCTCCGGGTGGGCAGCTCGGGGGCCGTGCTGCGCCAGAGCAGAAGCTGTGTTTTATAACCATGTTGGTCGCTTCTGAGTGCTTCAGTCAAAGGAAGGAGTCTCGTCGCTGGCACTGCATGGAGGGAGTGAGCTGGGCTGAGCAGGGCGCGGTGGCTGGGGAAGCTCCGGGTGGAGACGGCCATCCAGCCATCTCCCCGGGGTGCCCCAGTGATGTGGGGGTGCTGGAGCTCACCCCTGCCCCCCCAGAATGTCCTGCCATGCAGAGGCCCTGCTTGGACTTACAGCTCTCCGCCCGGCACCACAACTGGCGGCGTGGTGAGGGCCGGCGCACTCCTGGGCTGCCGGGGGCGTGGTGGGCACCAGCACAGCGTGGGCTTTGCTGAGGGAAGGTCCGCGGCCCTGGG